TTAAATATTATTATGTATTAATCGAAGTATTAATTTGTAAATTATAATGTTGCATTATTATTATCTATATTTAATAAAATTCAATCCTAATTTCCATTTTTTTAGCGACGATAATACTGGTCACTTTCCAAAATCACTGTGAAACTAGACATTTTTAATGTTATTTGAACAATTTATTTGTATATATGAGTTAGCATTGTGCTTTTGTCATAATTATATGAAGTTTTATTTAAGTTTTATAATTTAAGTGGTATAATATTTAATTATATAATTTATTTAATTGATTTTAAATAGGTTAACTCAAGTTTAACCCATTTATTTAATAGGTTGGGTCAGAAACTACATAAACATGACAACCCGGTAACAACCCATTTATCTAAAAGGTTATGTTATATTGGAAATATCAACCCATTTAGATAAACAGACTGGGTTGGGTTGAACTTTTATACCCAATTATTAAATGGGTTGAAGCCAAACCCAACCCAGATCGACTCATTGTCACCTCTAATATGGACCAAAATCATTAAAAATATTTAAAATTAGACTACTGATGCACCATCAAAATTATATAATTTTGACAACCACAATGACTATTTTTACAATTTAGTAAAAAAAAATGTAGTATATTATCTAAAATGTGTTGTATCATTCCAGGAAGTGTTGCTTCAAATTCAGAAAGTGTTGTTTCTCCAAATGCATTAAAATTATAGGAAATAACACTATGTAAAAATGATTTTAAGACAATAAAATTAGTTTGTTTATAAAAATGATTTTAAACTCTATTTTTGTATTGTATAAATATGTTTTTTGTATATATAAACACTAGAGATGCAAAATTTTGTTTTCTAAAAAACAAGAGATCTTTTAAAGTTAAGTTATGATTTTTGGTAAAATAATTTTTGATAAATAAATATTTATTTAGACACGTTTAAAGTTTGATCTTCTAAGTCATTTTCTCTAATAATATTATTTTTATATTTTTTTTTTTGTCAGATTTGACAAAACAATTTTTGTGTAAAAGCAAGCTTGCAATTTACTAATTGCAAAATATTAACTCATTTTGTTAAAAGAGCAAAAGAAATTATCAATTTATAATGTAAAGTTTGTTGCTCTTCTAAGTCATTTTCTCTAATAATATTATTTTTATAGTTTTTTTTTGTTAGATTTGACAAAACAATTTTTGTGTAAAAGCAAGTTTGCAATTTACTAATTGCAAAATATTAGGTCATTTTGTTAAAAGAACAAAAGAAATTATCAATTTATTAGACCATAAGACCACCAATTTTGATATTTTAGTGGTAGTCTCAAAATAAACATAAATCCAAAGATCCACTAGTAGCTTAATCACACTACTCATACCCATGGCCAATCTGTGATGGAATGGAATCGTGGTGTTGAAGTTCAATGCTACAAGAGAACATGTAATTGAGGGCCATCCATACTTGTCGCCCATTACATTTATTCGAATTCAACCATATGCCCTAGTGATTTATCGAATCTTTCCATAAGTTGGCACCAAACATTGTACTTTAGTTATAATTTGTGGTTAACTTTCTTTTTAACTCAATAAACTTCATGATGATACACCAAACATTTTATTTTAAAAATAATTTGTGGTTAACTTACTTTTTAACTCAATAAACTTCATGATGATACAACTTAAGACACCTTTATTTATTTTTCCTTTTACATAGTTTGTGAATAAAACATTAAGTGAATAAATGACATGTTACTAAGATAAAGTGTAACTTTTAATCAATAAAATTTCAACTTGATCAATAAAATATGGGTTTCCAATAAAATTTCAACTTGATCAATAAAATATGGGTTTCCAATAATTTTTAGGTAAAGAACCAAAAACCAAACTCAAAACATAAACATAGATAAACAATGGAACTCGTTAAAGTTAAACAATAACAACGTTAATTTTCGACCCAACAACTCGGGGCATCGAGAAGCTTTTCCAACACACAACACATTCCTATTCCTTCCAACCTAAACCAAACACATGACATATTACATTCCATAATATTCCAATTCTTTTAACCGATTACATTCCTCCAAAAAATAACATTCTACACACCAAACGCCCCTCACAATGTTACAACAACCGGAGGAGCGTCTTTTCGTGGTCCCGCAACACTCCGATAAACATAAACCTTATTCGCAACAAAATCATCACCACCATCTTCCTCATCATTAATCACCTCAACATTCAACCTCGGCATCTCTTCCGCCAACTTCTTACACCCCTCCATTGTCACATTACAAGCCGACATCCACAAAGACCGCATCGACTCATACCTTTCCAACCCCGAAAGCAATGCCACGTCACCAAACGGGCAGTCCCGTATCTCTACCCGCCTCAACTTCGGGCAGCCTCTCATCACACATTCCATGCCCAAATCACTATCGCCCACAAACGCGACCGAAAGTGTTTCAAGGTTTTTCGCGTGTTTCCCGATGTATTCGAAAGTTAGGTCGGTTAGAAGGCCGGAAACGGAAAGCCGGCGAAGGTCGGAACAGGAATTGACAATTGCACCGAAGGCTTCGTCCATTGGCTCGTTGGTTATGGAATCGGGTGCGTAGGGGGTTATTATGCAAAGACGGAAGTGGGTGAAATTCGGGCAGTTTCGGGCAACGGTGATTACGGCCGCGTTTGTCATTCGTTGGCAAAAGTAGAGGATGTAATTGAGGTTCGGGCAGTGAGATATGGATACGAGACCGGACTCGGTCACGCCCGGTTGACTCGGGTCAACCGGGAAGACAGGGAAAACTCGGAGCTCTTCTAGTAACGGGCAGTATGATCCGACTGCTTCCAAACCCTTGTCCCCAACTGTATCAAGAACCTGAAAACAATATCAATTCCTTAATGTCTTAATGTAGAAAGTACTTTCATACTTTGGCTTAACTCATTAAGTCATTCTGTTAAGTGAAAAATAAAAGGTCACTGATTTACCCAGAGGCGACGTAGGCGTTTGCAGCGAGGAAGAATCTGTTCGAGTTCATCAGCTCCAAGACTCGCATAACTCAGATTCAGAAAGGTTAAATTTTCACACACAGGATATATAATGGGTAGATAAATCAACGTAGCGTCCCAAAAACCAGAAACTGAATGAAGGTTTTGACATTTAGCGAAAGTGTTTGCAAGGTCGGTGATTGAAGTAGGATTGGGGTCGAGGTCGTCGGAGAATGTACCGGTGCCGAGCTCCGTCAACTGTGGAGCAAGGAGAAGAAGCTTTTGCAATTGAACCAAATTTACTTTCCGGTTAACTTTTAGTACCTTTAACGATTTGCATCGAGAAACGAGACTCTCTAATGCTTCGAAACTTACTTCGCTGTTTAAAGTTGCGAAATTAAGAACTTGTAATGTGGTTAAGGTTTCTGGGAAGAAACTTAGCCAGTCTCCACCGAGATCAATAATTGAATTTTCTTGTATGTCGAGTTCTGTTAGGTTTCTACAAAATGAAGATTTCGAAAGTTTATCAAAACAAAGAATCTGTAGAATCGAAAAGGGAGATGGAAAAGCTTACTCGCAATGAGTAGCAATGGATTCGAGGCCAAGAGTACTGAATCCATCACAGCTTAAGAGTGATAGAGCTTTGAATCCATCAAAATTCAACGCTAAAAACTCCAAACTCTCATCAGTCACCACCATTCTCTTCAGTCTCAGCTCCTCCAGAAAAGGATACGCAGTAGCGAAAACATTTAGCCATGGTTGAACATCAGCTCCCCAGTCCGCCGGCACCAGATTGAAATCGGAAAATCTAGGTTTTCCCTTCAGCGTTACGCTGCGGATCGCCGGAAACCTAGCAGCTACGATTTCCGGTGAAATAGAGTAGCAGTTTTTTATGGATACATGCCGCCGGGTCAACCGCTCAGCGTTGTACCAGTCTTTGCAGACTAGCGATACCGAGTTTCGATCCTTGTCGGAGCTTATCAACGAAAACGTTCGTTTCAGAAATTCCTCCGGCAGCGTCCACGGTGTGGTTGGAGCTAGATCCATGTCCGCTGCTGCAAAAACTGCAACGGTTTCCATTATTTTAAAGCAGATTCATTCTCTTAGCTTAAAAAGCAGCATGTAAAAGCAACCAGAACACAGAGAATATAATGTCGCACCTGAAAATTTTCTTTCTAACGTTGTTGGATTTGGTGACGAAGTTTTGTAGAAGAAACTTGAAGAACTACAGATTTGAAGTAGAAAAAATTGGGGGAAATGGAGAAGGAGAAAAAGGGTTTAAACTGTAATAAATATATATCTGAAAAGACGGAATTTAACATATTATTCCAGCAGCCATTAAAGGAGCTCAGTGCTGTCATTCGGCTTTCCACCATTGATTATGTAAGGTTAAATTATAAATTCAGTCCTTGCGGGTATATTAAAATTACAAATTTGGTTTCTATTGTGATTTTTTCATTTTTTTATACTTCAATTATAATTATAAGTTAATTTTATATATAAACTTAAATCGAAATAAGAGGAAAATATGCAACAAGATTCGTTGTTATTCTTTTATGATTGTAAAACTATATTTTGAAAAACAACATCTTGATATCATATCATCATTATATATGCTCTATTATATTCTATTATATTATGAAACTAAAAATATCAAATACAAATCAAATAAATACGTATTAATTATAAATCCATAACTTTTTGTGATTTTGTCTCTTTGCATAAAACAACTTGTCACACATTAAAACATTCACTCATCAAACTCATGATAGGAAAACTTTATTGGATTCGTGCATGCAATAAAGAATTTCAATTCATAGTTGTTTCTTTTTTAGCGTAAACCTCGACGCGTCTAAATACAATGATGGCACTCGTCGATGAATGTTGGGGCTTAGGAGAGGTGTCATTGTTAGTAAAACCGTTAAATTTATAGTTAAGAATCATATCACATAAACAAATCAAAACACAAACATAACCAGAATTCATATTATTGTTTAATTCACAACATTAATGATAAAAAAATGATCATCTTATCCTTATTTATATATAGATAATTACTTTAACCATTTAATTTCTAGCATTAAAGTCAAACACTATTCAAGTTGACAAAAATGTGTGTTTTTTAAGTTTTTATATAGGTTCTAGATTGTTAAAAAATTTTGTAGGTTTATATTTGCATTTAGTTAGTTTTCTATCTCAACATATAGTGTTTTAAAAGTGAATATTTGATTTTATTTAGAGTTGTTGATTAAGATCTCGATCTTTCAGCCAAATTATAAGGTTTGATTCTTAATTTTTATCGTTATATATTTTCTATTTAGAAAGCGAAATCCAAAATTTTAAGGGGTTATTGGTTTGTTTGGAATGCGGCGACATGTAACAGAATAACCAATTAGCGATAACTTAACCCTCTTATAAACGGCGTCAGCAGAAAAGATAAGAAGCAAATACAGAAACTAATTTAGGGATGGAAAACGTTAAAGATTCAAGTTGTGGAGCAAAACTGTAATTTTTTAATAACCCGGGGACAAAACCTTTGGGTTATCTTTTTCGACAAAAACCAATATGCCCCATGTGTGTCCATCAGCAGCCATTAATAGAGCTGTAAGGGCTGTCTAGATTATGTTCGTTTCCAATGGAACTAATAATAACTTTTATAATAAGGATCGTATTTTTTTAAAATTATATTTGATATAGTATTTGTACTTTTAAATACTTTCAAAATTGTTTAAACGTTTAAAATTTACTGTATTTTGTAAGAATACCAATAAAGATGGCATATTATTTTTCTTCACTTATTTGCTTTATGTTGTGAACAATCGGAAAAGAAAACTACACCACCTTTCATTATTTCTTCATCTTTGTCTATGTTAGCGACTTGCTACTTCATTTTCATTTTTTTTTATTGACCGAAACATGTGTTGACCACAATGTTTTGATGATCTAACTTATGATAGAAGCAGGGATTGTGTTGTCGTTTTCATTAGGTGTATTATCGTTGGACAAGGATTAGACAGTGAGCTTGAAATACGGAAACATATTCATTTTTTGTATAAAAAAAGTTATTACTTTCAAGAACATAAACCGATAATTATCATCTCAATGTGATTAGGGGTCTTCCACAAGTCATGTAGCATTAAACATTTGAATTTCTTTCTCCTCAAGACCATCCGGTATACCTACCACATACCACATATATGGTGGGTGTCACATCAGCACCACATTCCCTACCACTAAACACACAACTTCACCTCATTTTTTATTTAAATTTAATTTAAAAATACATTAAAACACAATAAAACATACTTTTTTTAAATTAGTTTTTTATTCAATAAAACATATTTTTTTTATTCAACAAAACATATATTTTTTTAAATTAGTTTTTTTGTTTAAATTTAATTCACAAACACAATAAAACATATTTTTTTTTAAATTAGTTTTTTATTCAATAAAACAAAGATTACATTAATTTAAAACACACAACATAAAATAAAAAACATATTAAAAAAAACATAAAAATGAAACCACAAAAAACTTAAATTAGTTTTTAACCGTTATTTTTAATGACTAAATTTTGGGGACTCTCTCAATTTTCGTCAAGCTTTGACGTGTTTAAACGGCGTGTGTTTCGTGTCTTCATATTGGTGCATGGCCACAACAAACGGGTCGCATTCGTCTACGTTGTTTATAACAAAGTTATAAATCTCATTGAGTTCAAGGCATTTTACCCTCATGTCGCGAAACTTGGAACATATTTTATCAAGATTACGACTTTGGCAACCCATTAAATCATTGAAAACGTTTCCAACTTTTACCCAAAAATTAGGAGGTATTTCTGAGTCTTCTGAAACAGCTACCCATGCTAATGTTAAGTTCTCTTCTTCATTTTCTGACCAATTCATCCTTTTAGGAGCCATTGACTTTGAGTTTATGAAGCAAAAGAAGTGTGTGATGGTGAGAAGAAGAGAAAAGAATTGTATGAGTAAAATGAAGGAATAGGTGTGGTATTTATAGAAGTGGTTTAATGTTGTTTAAAAAGTAAAATTAAAAAAAAAAAGAAAAAAAAAAGATTTTAAACCCTAAATATGGCCGTTACTCTACACCCAATCACATTTTCCGTTTGCATTCGTTGTCCCGACCACGACTCCTCACGACCACGAACCACCACTTGCCATCGGGATGGTGTGCACGGTCGTGGTTCGTGGCCAGCTAGACCACGAACACGCCCGTTGCAACCATACCGGACGACCTCAATATCACTAAAACTAAAATAGGTCTAGGGGTATAATTGTCAATAAATTAACGTATCAGTGGATTAATAAAAAGGTTTAGTGGAAAAATCAATTCCCATATCATTAGGAGTCTTCGAAAATATTTGTATTTGAGTATCTAATCTGAAAATCCGAATCAAATTTATTTGATATTCGGATAATTATTTTTAAAATGTTTGGATATCTAAAATATTTAACTTTCCATATATTTTCTAATTATTTTTAAATTCAAAATGAATATATAAGAAGATTTGGGAACCTAGATATAGTTTATAAACATTACATGGCCTCTTCGTTTCCTTTTTGAGTCGATTGTTTACGTTTGTACTCCTCGTGGGTTTCTCTTTTGTGTTGTCTAATTTTGGTTGTACCAAGGGGGAGGGGGGATAGCCCCTCCTCGCCCTCAAAAACCTTCGTCACTCGGTTTAACAAGAGAGACTCTTTTAATTGAACTCATGAGTTAAAGTCTCATTTGAGAAATAGATAGTGATAGTTAGAAGTAGATTAGTTTGCCGTTTATAAAAAAAAATCAAAAAAACATACTTAACGTTGTACGATTAAAGAAGACATACTCACATTCTTTTTAAGTATCTTATTATCTAACGTATTTAATTATATTAATTAAGTTAATATATATATATATATATATATATATATATATATATATATATATATATACCTTAATAAGCATTTAGGTTTAAATGCTGAATTTTAAGATGTACATACCCAAATGCAATTTGTACAATGAATTTGTGCATATAAAAAACCAAATCTTAGCTAGTCAACAAGTTATTGAATTACTCACGTTTTGAATAGGTCTTCAGCTCTCATCTTCAAACTGAACTAGTCAATAGTTAAAGAAGAACCAGTATTTTCTGCCAATTGAATAGGTAAGTGGAAATACTCTATAAAGCCGCCTTCACCACCCATATCTGCACCAATAAAAGAACTAGGAGGCTTGATTGTGTTGTCAATTATTGTTTGTTGTGCATCTTAAGGAACAAACAATTCCATTTTCATCCACGGTCCATCTCATCATGTTCGATCTATTTCTCTCACTATAAGAAACCCTAATCGATTCAAACCATTGTTTTTCCTTTCCTCTTTAGTTCCTTTGGATTCCCGTATAATCTAAGGGGGTATGCTTATTTTTTCTGATTTTATTTTGTTATGTATGTTATCTATTCCTACACTTTCTTCATCTCGGGTTTTTATGAGTTTTGTTTTCTATGCAGGAAGAAACAACCCACTCTCTCACTCACGACGCCTCTTTCTTTGTTCATCATCCTTTTCCATCCTAATACGTTAAAAATAAAAAAAAAATCCATATTGATGTACATATTTTAAATCAATGGAAGAATGAGAATGTCGAGGTGTTCTGTTTTACGCATTTGTGTGCGAGGGGTCATCCAGGTGAGCCGAAAGTTTGCTCTATTTGCCTTCTTTGTCCTAATCTGCCACCAAACTTCCTTTCCTTCTTGGTGTGCTCCGTTTACTCGGATTCACCAAGGTAGCTTCTTCATCTTCATTTTTCTGAACACTTTTCTGTTAGAGAATGATTAAAGAATCTGGTTGTGTTCAAATTTTGTATGATGAATCGATCTTCATTGTCGAGATTATAGATACTTTTTTACTTGATTTTGTTATTTCTTCATAAAATCTAAGGTATTATGTTTAAATTCTGTAAATTTCAAGGGTATTATGTTTAAGTTCTGTAAATTTTAATTTTTTGATGTTGAATCTAATTGGGTTTCATCAAAATTTGATTATTTTTGTTGGTTTAATTTTACTTTTGATGTTTAAGTCGGCAACACCCCCATGCACTCTTTACCTAATTTTTTGGTCTACAATAGATTTCAGGAGAAACATCTCATAAAAGTGATGAAAATTTTGGATTCGCAGTAGCCACACTAACAAGAATAACCCATTTGTTTGTTTATTTTACCAATGCTTTGTGTTCTCTCTTTCCATGGAAGTGTAAAGTTGGTTTAGAAAGGTAAAGTGATTATTTTGAGATGAAAAATGGCTTTTGGAGGTTTAATCAAATGTGCAGGTCAAGGATAGATGTTATAGGGAGAATGGACGGTTTTACCCTTGGTTCTATTCTTATCTCTTTGTGCTCAGTTTATGTTTGAAACCTTCGTAATGTGATTTTTCTCTTCTTGACTTATTTATATGGAGTGCTTGAGTATAGTGACCTAATATTTGGAAAAGGAACATTTTAGAGATTTACATTAACAAAATTCCTACATTTGGATTGGCAAGGCTTCTTTCTTGAGCTTTTTTCTTAGGTGGAGCTTATGGTTGTCAATTGGAACCTTTTAACCAAGGGTATAAGTAGTATGGCTTTTTATACTTTTTGTTAGTAACATTGATCTATCTTTCTCTTTTACGAAAAGTGTCTACAAAGGTTCCATAGCTGAGGGCAAATTAGTAAACACATGGGATTTAAGGGGAAAACCACCATTCTGGAAAGGCCTCTATACAGGTTTCATAATTAAGAGATAAAATGTGGTCGCAGTTTTTATTATCTTTCTCTTTCTTAACTCAATGAGGTAACACTCCCATGTTACTCTCTCCTTCTCTCTCTCTCTCTCTCGCTCTCTCTCTCTCTCTCACACACACACACAATCACA